ACTAATATCAAGGAAACTTTTGATCTGAAACCCCATGAAACTAGGTATTTTCTGAAAGCAAAGGATATATTCTTTCATTTAAAAGTAAAATTAGCTGGTGTAAATGACTCAAAATTTTTTTCAGTGGGTAAAATGTGAAAAAATAGTGAAAATTTTGCATTTTTTTCATGTTCTAAACAAATATTTCCCCCATTAATGGGAAATTATCCATTTTTTTTTTTTTTAAATCAGAAAGCCTAAATCATAATCAAACTTTCAGGCATAAAATTGAGAGTTTTGAAGGAAATCAACATTCCTAGGGGTTCAAAATGTGACAAAATCCATTGGTAATTTTCAATTATATGACTGCCAAGGGTTAAAAAAAATTGACACCCAGCCACGGAAATCTTTAGTAAAAGGCAAAAGATTTATATGCAATTCCTAACCACCAGAAACCAAAAGTTTTTTTTTTCCAAAAAATAGCAGCGAGAAGGAAAATTAAATTTAATTGACTTTGACATCTAGGTCAAAGGTCAGCCAGCAATAAATGGTAAACCTTAGAACAAGTTGTAATAAAACCCACCACTCCCAGATAAAAGCAAAGAGTGAAAAAAAAGGGTTCAACATTACTAGGGTTTGATATAACCTATGTTTCAACAATGGCTTGATGAGTTTTGTTTTGTTTTTAACACCCCGTGACTCTGGTTGATGACAACAACACTTAGCAGACAACATTGTTTTTTTCACTGCATATCTTTCATATTTCCCATCGCCAGTCCATTTAGCCGTTCCTTTTATTCAATGATGTTCATGCCAAATGAAAGAGAAAGAAATGAATTTTGAATGATGTTATTTTGAAGTGAAATAAATATTTTTTCATAAAAAAAAGGGGATTTTTCTCAGAAAATTGTGCATAATTTCTTAATGCTAACAGCCAAATTGAAGATTAATTACCAGTGAATAATTCCATGTGCAAACAATAGCCGTCTGGATCTTATAACATCGCCCTAAAAGGTCCAGAAGTTTACTAACTGATCGAAAACTTGTTGCGCATAATTGTATTTTTCACGGTCAGTTTCCATTATTTCATCTTGATATTATGATTTTCGGACAGCCAAGTCATCAAGGATTCAGGAAAACAGTTTGGCATAGGTTTTCTTTAAGAACTTTACATTCTATGAGGTGTTTAAAATGTTACTGACGAATGAGATTTTTTACCGAATATTTCGTTTACGCGCCATGTTGGATTTTCCTATATGACAAAAACAAGGGTTTTAAACAGCCATGAGGCACCAACATAAACATTATTGAAGTGTAAGCGTTCTCAAAGCAAATTTGTGGCTTTCACAACACAACGAAAGAAAATCACTTGTAACACGTCAGGAAAATAACTCACGAACGCCGTATATAAAACTGCGAATTTTTTCCTCCCGAGTCGACAACACCAACTGCTTTTTATCGGCAGAACCTATTTTTTCCATTCGTCGACAGCCGGGATAGGATGTCCGTAATTTGCATATTAATATCCTCTTATAGCGACTCCTGCGACGGACTTGTTTCTTTTTCATCCCAGAATACATGCGACGCGTTGTCGCTTGGGTTGACGAGGTAAGTCGCTATAAGAGTTTTGCTGACTACTTTTTGGCAATCCCTCCCCGCAGATCGCATACACAAAAACACAAACTTTTTTCCGGGGTACTTGATTATCTCGTTCACTACAATTATCTCAACAGAAACTTACAAAAATCTGAGAGAAAAATCTTAATTAAAACCAGTAAATGGCACCTTCACAAAACCTGGAGGAAGTGTCCAATGCAGTGGAAAATTTAATACCACTACACAAGGTAAGGGCAAATATTATTTGGAGATATATGTCATTAAATGAGTAAAGGGAGATAACATATTGTCTAGAAAAACGTCTGTAAAAATGAATTTAGTGAAACGTTTAGACAAAACAGAACAAGGAACTTCATTGGACACCCGAGGGTATATGAATGGAGACCCAGTTAAAATAGTTCTGAACAAAAGACACTTTAACCTACTGTGTAACAACAGCTAGGAGAGTCCCATTCCCTATTTTACCAAAAATAAGGGAAGAATTGAATAGACTGGAAACTGATTAGTGTGTACCTATGGCACCCATAATAAAAAGAAATGGAAAAGTCCGAATATGTGTAGATTTGAAGAAGCTGAATCTAGCAGTGAAAAGGGAACATTACATGTTACCAAATTTAGATGATATTTTACCTAAACTAAATGAAGCTAAATTTTTTTCTAAATTGGATGTTGCCAGCAGATTCCGTTAAGTAAAGAACGCTATCTACTCACAACTTTCATTATTTCTTTTGGGAGATATTGCTTCAAAAGATTACCTTTTGATATAACATCACCTCCGGAAATATTTCAAAGAAAGATGTCAGAATTATTGAAAAATATTCAAGGAGTTGAAACAATTATTGACAATGAGTTAATCTACAGTAGAACTATAGACGAACACAACAAAAGAGTAAAAACAGTTCTTAAAACATTACAAAAACCAGATTCAAGCTTAATAAAGAAAAGTGTGAATGCACACAATTACTGAACAAAATGTTTCTTGATGTTTGTGATACCATTGCTTTGCTTGGACCAGAACAGTCATCAGTTTGAAAACAGGTGCTGACAAAAAAACTTAAATTCTCTCTGTAGATTCTATTAAATTTTGAAAATAAAATATATTTTTATAAATAGTTAATTTATCATCATTTAAAATTTGTATTTCATCTTTATTGAAATGTTTAACTGAGCTAATTTCATTTAAACACATTGCTAAGGAGTTTGTCATCAATTTTGTCATTCACTTGTCCATTATTAGTCTGATATATAGATTTGTGTGTATCTATCTATATTTCTGAGATGAGGTATTAAGGACACATGGCACAGTGGATAAAGGCGTTGTTTAGATCCAGTGACAGGACCCAAACAGTGTGAGTTCAATACTCACTTAAGGCAGTGGAGAACAGTGGAGGGGAATTAAAAGGAGATAACTGATAACTAACATCCATTAAAAAAACATGGGACATGGAACTAGAACAGTCTACCCCAGTCAGCAAAATAAACGGTTCAGTTCAACATTCCAACCACCTGAAGAAGGCCAGAGCGTACAACAGCCGAAACATTGTAATAAATATGGCGACAAAGATGAGGACAATAGTCCAAATAATATAAATAGTGTAGATTTGTGTGTGTATGTGTGTGTTTAGCAAGTGAAAGAATATAGTAAGTAGTTAAAATGTCTTACCTCATCTGACAATTGTACTGGTAGAGTTCCTGTTCCATCATTCAATGTACACATCAGTTTCCATTTGTTATTGGTTCGTTCTAGTTTCCCAAGCAGTGTGGATACATATGCCTAAAAAGTAGCACAAGAAAGAAGGATGACAGCTTAAATCTAATCTGTTTATATAGAAAGAGGAAATGCTACAATGATGAAACAGTCATTAAATCTATATTTTACAATAAAGCTGATTTTCGCAGATCATTCCTTTAAGGAATTTGATTATGAATATGGCTTTATGATGCATCGATTCTTATATAAGTGTCATAAAGTGTTGAACAATTTTTTAAATACATTCTCGCAATTACATCAGCATCATTTTAAATCAATATACCTAACTTTTGCAATTGAAACATTACAGAATACTAATTAGAAATAGAATTTATTAGTTTTCTTATTTTTTTTTAAGTAGAGCTATATGTTTGAATGTAGTTTATAAAGGTTTAGCTTAAATCATAAATAATTTCCGTTTTTGTTTATCAACTTTATTCTTCAAAAAAAATAAAACACAATTACATTCTATTCAATTACATATTCATCATTACTTGCAATGACTTGTTGCCACTTATTCAGCAGCTCTTCAATACCTTTTGAGTAAAATTCTGCAGAAACAAAAATAGTGTTCTGCAATGATTGAAAATGGTAATAATCATTTGGTGCAAGACCAGGTGAAAATAGCAGGTAGAATAGAATAGACTAAGTTCCAACTTTTTTCCTGTTTTATTCTTGCTCTATGTAACCTTGTGTTGTCATGGATGAGAACAACATATTTCCTATTGACAAGCACAGGGTTGTTTTTCAACCAAATTTGTATGGACACAATACAGCTGCTGGATGTATAAATGTGCATTTAGGGTTTCGTTGCATTTTAAGAACTATAAATGAACAATATCCCAATGATCCCACCACACAAACACACACACAGAACATTACTTTTCTTCCATGGAGCTCATCTTTTGGAATCAGTTATAGAGATTTACCTTTGTTAATCCACTGCCTTTTGCATTGAACAATGTCGTATGTAACCCATTTTTCATCACCTGTCATGATATATTTAAGGGTTGCTTAGTTAGTGTTATGGAAACTTACCTATAACGATAATGGACTCTTCCTGACACTATAAATACTGCACCTCTCAAGAGGTATAATGAATGAATGGGGTAACGAGTCGAGACAATATTAGTTCACTCTAAACCAGACGGACAGTCATTACTAACACCTTCAACTTCTTGTACTATATTTCTGTTGTAAATATACCTTTGTTATTCTACTCTTGTGTTCGTGTTGTTCTTCCTTGGTTCTAACCGTGGACCATACCTGTGGTGCGAGGATATTGGACCATAACAGTTAGGATGATACATTCAGCATTATAGCTGGTTCTTTGGAATCACTTATAATTAAATTAATAGCAGAATCTCTCTGTGTAGATGCTACATATAGTAAATGAGAACTATCTTTAGTGAGTTTTTAAATGATTTCTAAAGCAAATTCTATAACTGTTAGCTACAGAGCAACCTTCGAACATCTCACATATCAAACAAATCGTTTTTTGAATAGAAAATTTGAGATGAAAATGCTTTGGTTATCAAACAAAATTTTGGTTCTTGAACAAGATAGCTGAACTGAGTTAACCCAAACAGAATAATTTCTGAGTCAACCAGTGTTGAATACATTCATGTATTGTGCTATGCTTTCTTTTTCCAATTTTATTGGACTGCGATTTTTTTCTCTACATTGATTCCTATTGGAAAAATAGTTTTGGTTTATGAACATTTCAGGAACAAATTAAATTTGTGAACCAAAGTTCCACTGTACTTACTTTAATACGGAATTTGGATGAGTTTTTAGGCAACTGACATCCTTGCAAAACAAAGAGGTAAGTGAATGGCAACCGATGAGGCTCAACTGGAAAACAAAAACAAAAATTCAAGCACAAAACTGCTACTTATCTTTTTCGTGTTACATAAAATGTTAACGAACAGTTACAAACAAGAACATCAACATACTTAGAAATATCCTATCTTTTTTTATAATTCACTAGGGAATATGTTTAATAAAAGTTTAATAAGTTACAAGCCAAGATTGCTTAGTCAGTTGACGAACCAAAATAAACTTGTAACTTTCTTTACAAAAACTTAAAAAGAATTTATCCTCAATTTTTTAAAGGGAAGTAACTCGTATAAAATTTCTATTTATTCCAATATATAATATTGAACAAATTGTTAATAGTCTATCACAAATAAATATGCTCAGAAGTAAAATCAAAGCTTCTCTTATAAATAGTATATGTTATAGAGTTTGACTTGTAGCTTTTGTAATTATAGTTTTAAGATTTCATGTCTATAGCCAAATAGCAATTATTATCAACACACAGTAACAGTCACCACTGCAAGATGATCAAGTAAAACTATAAAAGTTTTGAAGGATTTTTAAATGATTCGTTTTGGTTTAGACATAAGAAAACATTAATCAAAAAGGAGAAATCAGATTTAACAAAGTACAAGCTTTATTTTTGGCTTATACGTCAAATGTATGATGAAATACCCACTAACATTTTGCCAAAACAGAAAAATTACTAACGGTATAATCTTTGTTTTAATTGTAAAATCCCAAAGAATGCTAAAAAGCAGGATAAAAAAAAAAGTTAATGAAATCAAGCAAAAACAAATAAACACACCTTAAATAAAAATATTCATCGCCACTTGCTCTGTATATAGACTAGACAAGGATTTACCCCATATCTGAAAGAGATCACCCAACGTATTCCTGGTAGGAACAACTTTTGTCCCCAATACAGATTTCATTTTAGGTAAAACTAAATGATTTGAGAAAGATAAGCTTCAAGTTTAATTGCATCATAATAAAAATGACAAGATTTTTTAGACTTTTGTATTTAGTGCAAACATTTTGTCACAACCTGTACTGACAAATAAATCTGTAATTTTTATCCCTTTAAGAGTAACAGTAATATTCTTCCAACAAACATTTCTACATACATGTATTCTTAAAAGTGTAATTTTAAAAACTGAAAACTGTATAAATTTATGAATAAAGCACATATTGTTAAAAAGTTTCTAGCTCATGAAAATGTATATTCCAGACATTACGAAAATTCAAGTTTGAATTTACATCCTGTTTCTAACATTCTATTTCATTTTCATTTCTATTCATAACAGCGTTCTATTACTGATATATATGTGAGAATATGAGTTCAAAAGCATATATATATATATATATATATATATATATTCACATATATGATAAAATACAGTTTTAAGGTATTCTATATTTATGAGTTAAAGTGCTCAATATCAGAGATAGAGCGTATGTAAATATATATAAATATAGAACTCTACTTTTGTATTGAGCTCTGTTTGAAATTAATGTTTTGAACGTTGAAACCTTACTCTTCATTCTTTTACATTTGGATATATATATATATATATATATATATATATATATATATATATGAAAATATGTGAAAATATATAGAAAATAGGAAGGAACTGGTTAGGTAAATAATCCAAAGTTCCTTAGTATTTTAGTTATTATTTTAAAAATAATACTTCGATACAAAAGTAGAGCATAAATATAATTATTTATTTAAAAATATGATTCAACTCACGACATAAGAGGTCTCATGTTTCAAAACAAGAGCTGAAAACTTCAATATAATTATTTGAATTAAATTGAGTTAAAGTAAGCTCTGTTCCATCTTCAAGTGAAATTTTTTTTGGAATAACATATTTCTGAAATTTACGTGTTTTAATAACTGAAATCAAAATTTCCATGGTAACAGCTAGGGCGAATTGTTCAAATTGGGTAGACATGTGTTGGGTGTTAATAATAAGTATCAGTATAGAATTACTTTCATAGATGTCAAGTCAGGGAAAGGTGGGGGTGTCTAAATTTGAAACGGAAGATGTATTAACCCTAGTCTGGTTTGCGTGTCTATGGAGATTTATTTATTTTTTTATTTTATTTTTTTATGAAAGGGATTTGTGCATATAAAAAAAACTGCCGTAACGTTTGTTTTTTGACAACTTCATAAAGGGTTATCTTTTTTGTAGGGTATTTAAACTATTTATTTGGGCTATGGATTATGAAAGTTATTATATTGTATGCTTGTTTTTAGCTAATTATTCAAACCATGAATCTGATGATGTTGACAAAGACATGAGTTAACAGTTTTTTATCGACATCATCAAATTCAAATAATTATATTGAAGTTTTCGGCTCTTGTTTTTGAAACATGAGACCTCTTATGTCATGAAGTTGGAATCATATTTTTAAATAAATAATATATATATATATATATATATATATATATATATATATATATATATATATATAAGGCTTAAACACTAATATTAATACTAATCGTAATCATGATCCAATTCATCAAGATCTGATGAATTGGATCATGATTACAATTCCAATGTAATAAATTATAACCATGGAATATTAGTGTTTGAGCCTTTTATATTATATTCTTACTCTGTCCTGAACATTGAGTTCTACCTGGATTCTATCCTCTTGGGAATTTATATATATATATATATATATATATTGACCACTAATATCATATATATATATATATATATATATATATATATAAATGATCCATTGCAAAAAATACTGGAAAAATGATCAGGTCCCTGTTACACTCCAATAAGATAAGTACCTGATTTCCCCCTGGTATGTTCTACCTTTACAAGAGTCAGATCAGGATTGAAAATGGAGTACTAAAATCATATCTGGGCTGAAGCTACCCAGTCTTCAGTTTCCAGTATTGAGTCCAAAAGTGTCTACACATCCTTGTGGGTGATGAATTATTTTCACCCTACAACTCCTTTCCCACAAATGAAACTCTGCAAGCTGCCTAACACTACTCTATCACTTATTTGCATAGAATATATTTTGATGAACTACATTCTTTAGTTCCACTAACACAGACCCTCACAGCTAATGCTACATACACTGAGTTGACCATCCTCATTCCCTGCATATTCCATTAATAAGAAGGAATTTCCCACAAACCACTACTTGGTGGCACCAACTCCAAAGAAGATACTTTCCCGACAACTACAAACTTAATCACTTAAAGTCTAGGCTTAATAGGTATCTATCCTACATAGCCACATAAACTGCATCTCTTACACTAATTAAAATGGCGAGATTTATCAAAACTAGAGATAATTCTATATGAATTCTTTTTTTTTGTGGACATAAACAATGAATGGCCAGACATCCTAATGACCAATAGTTCCAGATGAGTGACTGGACCATTGGTTGAAGTTAACGTGTCCTGGCGAAAAGACTAACTGGAAATATGTGCATCTATGTTGGAACTGACCAGAGGAAAAGGGAGTTGAAGGGTGGCAGATAATGACAATTCTCAGATGGTGATTGGCTGTCCCGAGGCTATCCGGAACTATGTGGACAACCAGGACAGAGCTGTCCAGAGGCAAGGGGAGTCGAGGGTGGTCAATAACAACAATTCTCGAGTGGCAAGTGGCTGTCCCGTTCAGGCCCACCCATGAGGGTGTAAGTGAGAAGGGAATTAGGATTAGTTAGAAGATACAAGTTACAGCTGTGGGAAGGCTACCAGCAATTGGCCATAGCAATTATGCATGGGTACCCTCAAAATAACAAATCCACCTATCTTCGATATAAGCAGGGGTTTGGGCCGCAAATAGTAGAGTGATTAGCAGAATTGTGCAGAGTAGCAGGGAGTGACAAGAGAGTCGCAGAAAGTGGCAAACAGCAGAGGAGCAGGGAGTGATAAGCAGAGCCATGAACAGCAGAATTGCGGAGAGTGAAGTCCCTGAAAGTTCCAAAGAGGAGATTGTAATAGCAGATGTTAGCAGAATGCTGAGACCTGATATAAACCAAGTGGTAGACCTTGTTGTATAAGTGTGGGCAGATGCAATATTCGTGTAAGAAATTGGAACGACCAAAAGAGATAACCTGACACTCAGTCAACTCTTTCTCTCTCTCTCTCTCCCACTCTCTCTCTCCTTAATTTTAATTCTGCCTGTATATAAAGACTTAAACTCTATTGAAGTGACTCTGGTTTTTCTTCCACAATTATTTTATCATAATTTATTTTTTTACTAATATACCCTTGTCCCACTCTCAGCATTCTCAACAGACCCTATCAATCCAGGATCGACGAAACCACTCTTCAGGTCAAAAAATTCATAACGTGGGTGGAGAGTGGATTATTGTCACTTGGTCCTGATTGGGAATCTGCTGGGCCTAACGGCCAGACCCACAAGAATCAAGTGGGTGATAGGTGTAAAGGAATAGCATTATAAATATTACACCTTTCAGTTTTATTAAAAGTTCCATCTATTGAGGCTTGGTTATAAAATTCAACTGCAGAAATTATATTTTCAATGAGTTTCTTAAATTTAAAATACAGGAAATTGATTTTCTATCTAATAAAGCCAGAAAATCTTAATATGATCACATCCCTTACCTTTCATCAGATGAAAATAAGCATTTGGATCCTCAGCTTTTTTCTTACAAAGTTTAAGCCACTTTTTCATAAGATCATCAGTACTTGAATTAATTGTTATACTATCAGATTTCAACTGAGTGTCTGTGTCCAGGTTTATTGACTGATCAGGCTGAGAAGCAGTTCTAACCAGAGAGCCTGATAACTGGCAACTCCTGGAGGAAGAAGACGAGGCTATAGCAGCTGAACAGTCTTCATTATCAGATATAAAAAGTTTTTTGGGAACAATACAATCAGCTGAAGATGACTTTTTAGCAGAAATACTTGAACCAAAATTTTTATTCAAGTTTACGTCCATTGCTATGGCTATCTCCATCTCATCGTCATCCCAGTTTTCCACAAAAATATCATCATCAAAACGTGAAGATTGTGATAATCTCTCATTGTTATTTCTTGGAGATAATCGTGAGTTTTTTTTCTTGGGCAACATTGAAGAGTCATTCACTTCATAGGGGCTGAAACTCCGTTTCTTGTTCTGTTGTTGCTGATCTGGTTGGCCAAAGTTGTTGCCAGAATCCTCTGTAAATGTTGGTGAAGAAGACTGCTGTGTAGCTGCCATCAAAGCATCATCCAGGAATTCATCATCTAAGTCATCTACTGCCCACTAACAAAACAAACACAAAAAAATATAAAAAAAATCAAGTCTTTACATCAGACAAGAGAGATAACAATAGATTAAGAATGAAGTTTTAACAGCAATCTCTTCACTTTTCATTCCTCAATTGTATTACAGTTTGAAAATCATGAAACAGAGTTAAAATGACATGTTGAAATTTAGGCTATTTTGAAAAACAGACTTTCCAAAGATCGAGTGTGTGTGTGTGTGTGTGTGTGTGTATTTAGGCAGCACATTCTCTTTTAGGCATGTCTGATTGAATAAATTACAAACATTATGTTTGCTTATTTTTATCATAATCTTTTCATATTCTCAAATATTTTTTTGTATATTACAATTAAATAAGGCAAGAAATGCAGTGTAACAGTGAGAATCACTTTTATTTCCCCAAGTACTTTCTATCTCTTTCTGAGATTATCATCAGGAGTGCAACTGGTAACACAAAAACTACATGTAGCTATCCATTACTGATTTCTTTTTTCAGCAATGGATAGCTACACATAGTTTTTGCCTTACCAGTTGCACCACAGCAAGATGATCTTAGAAAGAGATGGAAAGTAATTGGGAAACATTTCGTACTGCAGATCAACTGTTTTTATAAACATATTATATTAGGCAGCATATATTTTATATTATAAAGAGGTAATCATACAACAATTTTATACGTAAGGATCACATTATTCAGTGGATTGTTAGTAGTTTAATGCTTATATTAAGTCTGTTAGTGAAGAGATTTCGCCATTAATTGCATTAATATTGCTAATTGATTCAATGTATGATTATCTCTTTATAATATATATATATATGTATATATATATATATATATGTGTGTGTGTGTGTGTGTGTGTGTGTTTATATATATATTGAATATATGAGAAAAAATTAACCTGAAGTTTACCTCATCATCAAAATCATCGACACCCGTGTTGCCCTGCACTGAAGTATCTGCAAAGTGACTGATAAAAAGTTAATGTCTGAACTGAAAAGTAGAGTTTTTTCATCATAAATATACACAACTTAATGACTTTTGAAGAATTTAAATCAAGCTCTCTTCCAAGATAAAATAGTTTACCTTTAAACAATACATTTTAAGTAAATGGTTTCATTCTCAGATATTATCTCCAAATTAAGTAATTATTTATTTCTATTTAGATTTTGCAAGGAGAAATAAAAAAAAAAAAAAAATTACTGTATCATAATTTTTTTTACTTAATTTCATATTATAAAAAGACTATTTTAATCAATTATTTGCAACAACATTAACTTTTGCTCAAATACACATAAAAATATAAATCTTCAACATAAAACAATAAGATTTAATTAATACTAAAAGTCAGTAATATGAATTGAAATCTTATTAAGCAAAACACTTAGTGCAAACCTAGCAAAGAAGTTAATCAAAATATCTGGAGAAAAATAAAGAGCGTGTGTATATTATTCAACAAATATCTCAGAAGATTGATAATATCCTCATTCAATTCCACTCGGCCAGCTTTCATATCTACGATGACTTCAATATCCACCATAAAGGGTGGATATTCCACTCCGACAAAACTGATGTTGAAGGCAGACATTGCATAGACTTCTCCATCAATTATGAGCTAACCCAGATCATCGGAGGACCTACCTGGACACAACGGGACATCATGCGAATCTCGTTGACCACTTCCTAACTTCCTGCCTTGATAAAAGTTTTACTTCCAGTAGGCATGTCAGACCATTCCCTAATCAATGTCCAGATTTATGCGAAACCTAAGACATCCCCATCCCCTGATGTACCGTTCCGTAGAATGATTTTTAATTATGCAAAGGCAGACTGGGATAGCTTTCGATTCTATATGATGGAAGCTCCCCTACCAACCTTCTTCAAGCATGCTGCCAAAAAAACTGCTGCCCTTGTCACTGATTGGATCTTTTCTGGAATGGAGAGTTTTATACACCCTCCCCCAAAAAATCCCATCGAAAACCAATCAACTCTATTTCACCCCTGAATGCACTGCAGCCTTAACTCACCTAAACCACTACTTCAATATCTATCGCAAGGGACGATGTAGTTGGCCCTCACTGCATTCAGAACTGCCCTCAATCACTGCAAAAAAGTTCTAGAAAACGCCAAGTGCAGTTATGCACAAGCAGTCCAGACCAAGGTTGAAAAGAAACAAATTGAATCCCATGAATTCTGGAAGATCACCAACCAAATCATGAACAGAGGTAAAGTGGCTGTGCCCACAATTATAAAATGCCCAGAGGTCATATCTTCCTCAACAAATAAGGTGAACCTCTTCGCCTCCATCTTTGCCTCTAATGCAACATTAGATGAGAAAGACTATCCCCTCCCCAAATTCCCATATCGCACCGGGCACAATCTCAATAATATTTCTATCATAACATGAGAGGTCTCTAGACTTATCAAAGGCCTTGACCCTAAAAAAGCCACTGTCCAGAAAAAATTCCAGTGTTTGTCCTTAAGAACATCAACTCAGAATTATCCCCAATCGTAGCAAAGTTATTCAACCACTTCTTTAAGGAGAAATCTTCCCCAAACCTGTAGAAAGTGTCAAACCTATGCTTGGTTTTCAAGAACGTGAGTAAGCGATCTTTCCTCTCCCAGTACAGGCCCATCAGTATCATCAGCAAGCTTTTTGAGACCATAATCAATAAGAAAGTTGTCAAGAATCCAGAAAAGAAGAAACTCTTCAGCAAGGAACAGTATGGGTTTCTGTCAGCTCAATCTATTGCCGACATCCTAACTACCATTCGCTCACAGTGAGGATCTTGACGACAAACACACCACAAGGACCACAGCACTAGATATTTCAAAGGCCTTTTACAATGTGTGGCACAAAGGCTTACTACACAAGCTCTCCAGTTATGAAATCACTGGAAAGGTCTTCTCAATCATAAAATCCTCCCTAACAGGTAGAGGTCCCTGAAGGTAGTTATCAATGGCCAGTCCTCCAGAGCCCTAGAGATCAACACAGGCATCCCCCAGTCCTTGGACCAACCCTGTTTTTGATCTACATAAATGATCTGCCTAAGAATACACACAGATCATTTGTAAACAGCTATGCCAATGATACAACTACATAGAGGCACACCTCTAAAACACTCGATCATCAGAGATTGATGACTGATCTCTCTTTCAATCTTGTACAAGCTACTCAATGGCATAAAAACTGGCTAGTTACATTCAATACCTCAAAGACTAAGCTAGTTACATTCCATTATTGCTGATCTGACTCTGAACTACCAATCAGGATGAACAGAGGCCCTCTTGGGGAAGTACTTGAAAGACTGTTGGAACTTGTACATACAATCCATTGCTAAGGATGCTTGTAAAATGGTTGGCTCTGTACCTCTCCAGTAAGTACCTGACTCCGCCTACTATCATCTACTTTTAGATGGAGTACTGTTGTCATATTTGGGCAGGAGTGCTCAGACTTCACTCCCTAGCCTTGACAGAGTTCAAAAAAGTCTCTGAGCCCTTGTGGATGACAAGTTATTCTCCACCCTTCAACCTCTCATCCATTGCCAGGACGTGGTTAGCCTCTCACTGCTCTATGGCTACTTCCACAGAAAGTGCTCAGAAGAACTACATTCCCTGGTCCGACCGAAGTAAACCTTTATGGCAAGAGCACACCATGCCACTTACATAGTAGCAAACCACCCACATTCCCTCCATATTCCATCAATGAGAAGTTCCGCTCAAGGAGCTTTTTCCCCATGAACCTCTGCCCTATGTAACCAACTCCCAACTGTATGTTTCCTTGATCACTACAATCTTAATCTGTTCAAGGCGAGAGTTAACTGTTATCTTCCAGTCCTATAAACACAGATGGCCTCCAAACATAACCCTCTACCTCGTGGCCCCTCAAGTGAACCTCACTGTAAAATATATATATATATATATATATATATATATATATATATATATATATATGTTATTAATACTATAATATCCAAATAATGACTACTCAGAGTCACAATAACAAACATCAGGCAGATAAAGTATTTTATTCGTCTGATGATTGTTATTGTATGAAACTGAGTAGCAGATTTTGATACTGTTGTTTTAATAATATGATTATAATATGATTATAATATATTTAAGCTCTGTTGACTTTGGGATTGAGACCTCAATTTAGTTTATATTTTAAGCTTTAGCTTTTATTTTACTATTTGTGTGCATGTGTGTATATATATATATATATATATATATATAGCATTTTTTATATCGAAATTGTGGTCAGTCTCATTATGGTGGGCAACTAACACATTTGACATATTATCAGCATCACCCAACTCATTCAGAAACTGAAAAAATCCTTACTGAAATGCATTGATAAAAAAAATGTCATCCCACGATGCACACACAAAATATTTAAAACATCGCATCACATGGTTGCAATTTCCTAAAAGCATCTTCCAAAGAACTAAAAATGTTGGAAAACTAATCACTAAAAAAGCCAGAACTGCTGGTCTGCAACTCCATACAAAGAATGTAATAAAGCTGGAAATGGCCCAATGACACCAAATGATCAAACAAATGAGTGACTATCAAAACAACAAACTAAAACAAAAACTCTATGCCACAACAGCAAGTGGAAATATGTTGGAAGGCCTAATCTAATAAAAAATTCATTAGATATAAAGCTTTCCAACACAGAGTGAGACACCCTCTGCTTTGGTTTAAAATTTGCCACCGGAATCCGCAAAGGAGACATAGTAGACATTATATTACAAAATCATAAGCAAAACAACACCTAATTCACCAAAGGTTTCATTCAAGACATAATTACTGCTACTAGAGAAACCAACAATGAAAATATATTACCACAGACACACCTAAATGCACTACAGAACTTAGCAAGAAATAAGATAATCTACATCACTACCTCTGACAAAGGAGTGGGGATTGTGATGATGAACAAGAATACATACATGGAAAAAAATTAACTCATTAACTCAATGATACCACCATGAATAAACAAATAAAAAATAACTACTGAAACATAAAAACTTAACAAGGAAATTAAAAAAATAATTAAAAATTAAAACAAATCTTGGTATAGACTCATAGAATATCACTCTTAGAACACCCAAACTTTATGGTCACCCTAAAACCCACAGAACAGGTATCCCAATATGTCCCATCATCTCAAGAATAGACAGTGCTCCCCCAACCCCACCCCATAAACTGGCAAAAGTCATAACAAAAATTCTAACTAGGGGAAATAAATATGACTGACAAAGTCTTTGGGGATAATGCTGTGAGTGAATGCATTGGTTCCAGAAGTTCAGGTCAGGAGATCTGTCTCCTTGATGAACCCCATAGTGGCTGGACACAGGTCCTGATTGAGATGGACAACAGCCAAACCTATGGTGAGCTTACTGAACACTTCCTGATTAATCAGTCAGACTTTTCCTGCATCACATAGGAAAGGGGTGTATAAGTTGAGCAAGTGGGTACCAAACACACACTGTAGGAAGCCAACAAGCAACAAATGGTAGCCTGTTTCTCATTGCTTTATCAGCACTGCAATGTACCCATATTTGATCAAGTGCACAGCAGTGATGAAAAGTGGGTCCTATATGACACTCCCAAGCATGCCAGACATTAGTAGTTACCATGGGACCCTGTGCCTCACACCACAAGACCACCTCTACAACCAGGCAAGATCATGCTCTGTATCTGGTAGACACAAGTAGTGCACTATGAGTGGCTACCAGCCAGCCAAACCATTATTGTGGAACTGTACTCACAGCAGTTGGAACATGTGCAACAGGTGCTGAAGCAGAAGGAGCTAGTATTGGTAAACTCCAAGGGTGTATTGTGCCTCCAATGCAATGCCAGGTCTCATTTGATGCAAGTGGCCAGAGATACCATGTGGTGATTTGGCTGGGAGACACTGTGCCATCCACCTTACTCTCCAAACTTTGTGCCATTAAATTACCACCTCTTCCATTGCTCAGACAACCACCATCACAGAAAATTCTTCAGATATGAGACAGATTTGCATCAGGCACTCACAGATTTCTTTGTATCCAAGTCACCTGATTTTTACCACAAAGAGGCATGTTGGAAAATGTCTGAATACTTTGAGGACTAATGATATGTCAAATTTACTGTATACCTTATTTTCCTAATAAATCACAAACAGCAAAGACTTTTTTTGCTTATCTTGTATATATAAAAATCAAACATCTGCTGAAACACATGTTGCAATGGTCCAATCCAAAATAAAATCTTCATCTTTATATTTTATTAACAGCCATACCAGCAGGTTGATCAGAAAAAGAGTTCAATTAGAATGGAGAAAAAACAGCATCATGTTTAGATGTAACAGTCTATCTTCTTCAATTACTTTAAAGTACTTTCATTAAAAAAACATTTTGAATTAATGCAGTTACTGTATGTGCCAAGTCTGATTAAAATTGTTTGTATGGATCTTGAGTGAAAAGGTATCACACACTAGACAGTCAGACATCCTCTGTTTTTTTTATATATATATATATATATATATATATAGATAACACATTGGTGTTATATTAGTTTCAGAACATTAAATACGCCCCTAAAATTATAGATGAACAACATCTCTTCACAAAATTATATGGAATTAATATTAAAATTCTATGTCAATCTAAAACTGAGCAACTTGATAAGAGGAAATTTATGAAACATAGAATTCAATTGTTTTGACAAATAAACTCACGTATGATTGTCAAACCAGAAACCTGAGCAAATGACAAGTGACAATTTTTAAACCATTTCATTTTTAATAAATTTACCTGCACAACTGTTGAGTTTTGGTTTCCAGGATTCTGTTTTACAAGATGAACTTTTGGAATCCCAACTGAAAAACAAAAAACAAGATTTAAATATGTAAACAATAAAAAGGAATAATCTTATCACATGCATTTGAAATATTTTCAGGTTAAAAACAGAATTGACTGTTATTTAACCAGTTCAAAATGATTGTAGTACAAGACATCTCTTAATGTTTAGAATTTACATTTAAACATTTTTTTATATTCTTAAATTCAAATTGTAATAATTTTTCAGACACCTAAAATACTAAAACACACTTGCATTATTTACATTATTCAGACTGTTATTCTCATCTTCATTGCCATATTTACAATGTTTCAGCCATTGTATGCTTTGGCCTGAAGAAGGCTGGAGCATACAACACCTGAATCATTGTGAATATGGCAATGAAGATGAGGATAACAGTCCAAATAATGTAAATAATGCAAGTAATCATAATACCTCATCTCAGAGATATAGACAGATACCAAAATACACAATATCAACTTTTTATTGCTGGGTAACAATCTTGTTTGGAGGATACATTTCTTTTTTTTAATTCTTGTATTATTATTTTTAATAAATAGCTTTTGCTAGCAATTTTATTAAAGCTGTTTGCATCTCAAATAATCTCAGTTAGATGATAGCTATACACCTAACACTATTAGTAACATGTTATAATTTTATTAACTTACCTAGTATTTTTTCTCTGGGCAAATTTTGAAGAATTTCCTAAAATTTTATGAGAAAAGAAAAATTTCCAGATGATGTATGTTGATAAACAGAAAAGCAAATATCTTTCGTATTTGACATACAGTAAATCACTAAGATGGTACATTTTCATAGCAGTTTGATATGGGCACCAATTATTAGCAGTATATAAGACAAGATTTTACAGTTGCATGTCTGTTTAGTTTCATGCATCTTAAAATCTGAGAGAGAGTGACATTTTTCATGACAATGGCAATAAAAGAGTTAAATTATTTCTAGTTCAAAATGTAAATATTTCTTGGACAATTTTAGGACAAGGCCATGTTTGATGAGTACATAGTTAAGAAGTAATTCACTACCAATGATTAGCACACTAATTACTACTCAAAAATAGAGGTTTTCAAAGCTTAATTAAAAAAAAAAAAGACAATATGGATTCAATGAAATAAAAGGTATTTTTTGTAAAGAAGAATTTACAATCAAATTTTTATGCAATCAGAATTATTCTCAGAATTACATGGGACAATATAAACTTACTTTAAAACTCATCAATCATATTTTTATACAAATCAATAAACTTTACAGATAGACAGCATTCAAAAATGCCCATTAGTAAATTAAGTTAATTATTTTGAGAAACAGAATTTAACACAATGTGTTTATAAGGTCAGTAAGACAAAACCCAACAATTTCGTCAAAAGATAATTTGTTTTTTATAAAATTTCACATTAAATTTTAAAAGTTTTAATCCAATATCTCCCACTAGTTCACATTTATTCTGACCACAGAAAATCCAAGAAATAAAAACAGATTGCTCTTAACTTTTGCCAAGACCTTAAAGTAAGTTAACTTGAAAAATCATTGGTGTTTTACGATGATTTCTTTCATAGTTATTTACAACACAAAAAGAACTCTTAATTGCACAATCAATAACTAATTATATCCCTTCACCAATCCATCTTTAAAAAAACAAAGATTTCATTATTCACCTGAAGTAATTGTTTTGGTGTTGTGAATGCCAGGTAAGTCCTTTCCTTTCTTTACAAAAGTAGCATTGATTCTGCTGGCATATTGTGTAGCATCAGCAGCTGTGAATTCATAACGCATACTCTCTCCAGCATAAGCAGCACTATCTTCCCTACAAAAAAAAAAAGGATTTTTTTAATTCTAATTATGATAATGCAACTGAATTTCTTTTTGCTTTTTTAAGATTAAAGCTCAAAAGTAAGTGCGAGACAATATTTCATCTACATTTTTCTTTTTAAAATCATCAGCATATATATATATATATATATATATATATATATATATATATATATATATATATATATATATATATACCCTTGTGCAAATTAATTGAAACAAAATGAATAATTCTGTTATTATTTACTTTTTTTTCATATTTTTCCAATGAAACATGATCCAGTTTACATGTTAGTACTTCGTATCTCCATTCCACAAAGTTCTTCCTTGCAGACTGACCACAGATTCTCGATTGGATTAAAATCAGGAGAGTTTCCAGACCAGTCTATAGTACTTTGATTTGTTCACTGCTAAGGCTTACCAGTGTGTTCATGCAGCATTACAATTTTTGTATGTTTCTTTCGAGTAATGCCCATCACAGACAATGGCCGTAGGGCAACTAATCAACAGTCGAGACAGTAGTGTCTGGCCATGATAAAAATCTGATGCAATCACAGATAACGCAATATTTTTCAAGGCCAAACAAATTTAATAATACACCCCGAAAATAGATTCATATTACTGCACACCACTGCAAATGACCTAATCTGTTACTCCATTAGGTCTAAAACTGACCATATGATGAAAGAGAGGAAACTAAAGTGGTGTTATGGTGAAACACACCTATTATATAGTTAATAGACTCTTCCACCTAATATAAGTAGTAGTAGTAATAGAAACGGGGGTCAGTCAGTCAGTCGATGTCAGACGACAATTAATCGAATACGAAAGTAGTCAGCGACCACGACAAGATTACTCTGCGTTATACCTATTATATCAAGTTCCTAACGTTTTGTACGTCGAACCTATTTTAGGACCGATTTAGTACAAATACAAGCCTCCACTGCGAAATCACTCCACAACAAGTGGTTGTTTCAATTAATTTGCACAAGGGTGTAACTATAGCACACATTTGCTTTTCACATATTTAGAAAAATATACAAAAGAGTTTTTTCATAAAATTAGAAAAATTATCACTTGATAATATAGATCTCAATTATAAGCTACATGAATAATTTTTTTATATTGAGATATTAATCTCAAAAAAGCATCATGAAGCAAATTTTTATTATTTTGAAACAAACTTGCTTGTTATCATTCACTAAGAAAATAAAAATAACTAAAGAACCAATGTTAAATAAAGTTGGATCCCTTTCAAAAAGAAAATATCTAATGTTGGGTTATTTGGTTACATTTTGAAACAGATCAAAAACTTTTCAATGCTCTCTTGTTGACATTTAGTGTCACATTGCATTAAACCTTATACTATCCCATAATTTTCCAGTCTACAAACCAAATAAAGCAAATTTATTTGAAAATCTCAATCAAATGTAAAACAATATTCCATATAAAGACAAATAAAGATCAGAGTTGAAACCCAAACCAACAACGAGTCACAAAGAATTAAAATTGACATAATCCCAACATTGGAATCATTGGAATACCAGAATAATTTAAATCAAGCCTTGGAATCATAATGAATACCAGAATAATTTAACAAGATTTTAATAAAATGTATTTTTCTTCAGCTATTGGTTACATAACTGTTTCAGACTGACATCATCTACCCACCCCCTACCACCCACCACCCCCGCGCATTTAATGCTTGACAGTAGTTCACAGTTGTCTGAATTTTCAAATTGCTTGTTCTGACTATGATGATGATAAAACAAGTTATATGCGTATTTCTGCTTGTTTTCCTATTTACAAGGAAAGGGATGATAATCTAGTGGTTTGTTGACTGCTACTATTTTATCTTCCCATAGCTCTCCTTTCTGGTGGCCTCAGCAGTATACTCTAAAGAGCACTCTACACGTGAATGTGTGTAGATATATATATATATATATATATATATATATATATATATATATATAAAATTTATTCAAAAATTATAATTTAAATATGTTATAAAATCACTACAAAAATAGCTATTTTGTTTCAACACTTCTGGTGTTTTATCAACAACACCATCACTTGATAAAACACCAGAAGTGTTGAAACAAAATGGCTATTTTTGTAGTGATTTTATAACATATTTAAATTATAATTTTTGAATAAATTATATTTGTTCTACTCTGTATTGAGCAATCTTTTAAGAATAGTATTTGTTGGTTATTGGAATTTATTCCATATACACCAATCCTATACTTGGGTATATATATATATATATATATATATATATATATATATATATATATATGAATGACATGCTGTGACAGTTTGAATTATATATATATATATATATATATATATATATATATATGGAATTCAACCTGTCACAGCATGTCACCAAAGATGTATTAATACAATTTGAACATTAATTAACATTCTGTAAAAGGCCCTTTTTTCCAGAAATTATATGGACACTTGACCAAGTTCTTTCCCAGAACTACTGTTCCTATAGGACCATTGACAAATATGTTTTGATGTAAACAAAGCACCCTGCCTACTGGTTGGGTTTTTTCAGGCAACCCTATATCCAAAATTATTCTAAGAAACTACACCAATCTAATGGATAGGTCCTCATGTAAACAAGTTAATCTCAACGGTTGTTAGACATTTCTTTAGCTGAAATCAAAAATGTATTACTTGTCATCATTTTCATGGTATGTACAAGGTCGTACTCAGTTATGCTAAGTTATCTCCAAGACAATACTCAAATTCAGTTCCTCTCAACCCATCTAATTTCTTGAAACTAATTAGCTTTTTTAATTATTTTTTTGGCATTTAATTTCAATAATCACAAATACAAGCCTGGTTGTATACCATAAAACTCTGCCCACTCTTAAACCTCTTTGGGGCACTACCCACTCCACATAAGTAAATCACCAACCACTTCATCACATTAGAGACAATCTTTACAGTTCTTTCACCTGAAAAAATACTGGACTTTCCTCTTTGCCTCTTATCAATCAGACAGCATAAGAAATTTCAATATTACTTTTTAAACCATCTACATTAGATTCTGACCAATGAATCTTCACTGTGACATCAATTTCTTTCTGTATTCATTTAAAAAAAAAGTCAAAATTATTTCTATGTCCAAGGACGCACACAAATCAAATAAAGGTGACAGTCTGTTTCATGCTAAATGCAATTGTCAAGCTATATTTATATTTACTTACACTCTATCTCTGATATTGAGCACTTTAACCCAAAAATATAGCATACCTTAAAAACTATATATATATATATATATATAGTTATTGCTATCAAAAATATAAAAGGTCACCATATTTATCAGACTGACTTAAAATTTTGCTAGTTATGGTCCAAACAAGAACATTGTATTATTACCAGAATATGTTTTTTAAATATTCAACATTTTATTATACATAATTTAGGTATGTGTAAAATTTCAGTTATAACTAAAATATATATATATATATATATCTGTAAATTGACAATATGAATAAAGAAAAAAGGAAAACTTATCTTAGTCAAAAGGTTTCATCCTTTGATCGACATTATCAAGACAAATGTAAGGATTTAATTTGCAACAAGTATTTATAAGCAAAATTAGTTTTTAAAAATTTTAAATTTAAGAAACACACATAAATATTCATCTGGCTAATTGTAAAGTTTAGGTAAATTATGGAGGATGCTAAGTGATATAATTTCATGTCTAATAAATGAAAGTGAATAAGCAGTTGTGACAGCTTATTTTATATATACCGACTTCAGAATTATTATTCTTATGGTTATTTTTGGTTCTGATCATATCCATAATAGCTTTGTAATTATTTTAATATTGCTAAAATTGGTTAAATTGTTTTGGATAGTAGATATTAAGGATTTGGTAGGTAGATAGTATTACTCTGAACCTACAGAAGAGGAGCTTAGTAAATCCATTGATGCCCTAGCTTCTGGAAAAGCACCAGATAAAGATGGCATATTGTCAGACATCATCAAATGTGGTAAGCCAATTTTACTAAAACTACATCATCATCTCCTGAGCCTCTACTAAAAAGACAAGGTTCCTTAGGACATGCACAATGCCAAGATAATTACCCTGTACAAAAAGAAGGGTAACCACAGAGATTGTAATAACTATTGAGGTATCTCCTGGTAAAGCATTGTTAGAAAAAGTCATTGCCTGAGTGGTCTTAACTCGACTCCTAATCTTTGCTGATCACATCTACCCAGAATGCTAATGTGGATTTAGGACAAAGCAATCTACATGATCTTCTCTCTATGTGAGCAACAGATGCCACTATACATCACCTTCATCAATCTCTCAAAGGTGTTCAGCTTTGTCAGCAGGAAAGGTCTGTTTCAATTAATGAAAATTGGACGTCCCCCAAAGTTGCTGAGCATCATCACCTCCTTTCATGTATGATAGTGAAACTTCAATGCCCTTCACAATTCAGAGTGGTATAAAACAAAGACGCTTTTTAGAACCGACTTTGTTTGGCATCTTTTTTCCCATGTTATTGAGTCTTAAGTTCAGGTAATCTGAAGAAGGTGTATACTTTCACAAGAAGCAATGGTAAATTATTCAATTTGGCTCACCTGAGTGCAAAGTTGCATTTTCTACATTTTTCTTCTCTTTTATTGGTGTTGTTACTTTTGTAATTATTGTAGTTATTCAAGTTGCATAATACATTTTAAATGCATCAAAGGTGGTCTTCAGTGATGCACTGTCCTCATCGCCAATTTCAGGTTTTGCATCATATCGGCTCAAACAGCAAACCCTACCTGACTCCAGAAGAGTCAAGCCGCCTTCTTAACAGTGTCGTGCTATGCACCTTGACATTGCAAAGAAAAATTCAGATATGGATAGGAGTCCAACCATTCTTATTGACATATGTCAATCAACGTCAGCCAATGAAATTTATTATGATAGCATATTAATTTGTTCATATTCCTTACACACCTGTTGCTTACTTCTAGTGTTAAATATCTTCATTAAGAGAACAGTTGGAGAACTTCCAGAATGTTTATCAACTAGTTTTAGGAAGATCCTTCCAACATTTGTTTTGCTTTGTGGTTATAAGGAGAGTTAAACTATATTATGTTGCATCATCTTTTTTTATTTATGTTCTTTTTCCATGTTGTATTCTATATTGACTTTGTGTTTTAAATATTTGACTTTGGCTTCGATAAATACTCTATTGTTAGTTACCTACCTGTATTGCACTAATTTATATAAATGTTTAAGTATGACCAGAGGATGATTTGATTCACTATTTACATACCTTAGATTACTTGACTCTTTTATATATGGTTTATATTTACCAGAATTCAAGTCCAAGTGTATCACTTTTTACAGTAGTAATTTTTAGGTTATGGTCTTTAAAGAATTTTTCCAGTGTTTTTTCTTGATCTATCAATCCTTCTTGAACTTTTCTTTCATAGTAGTATCGGTTCTATGTTGTTAATATCAAATACCTATCTTAGTCATCATTATACATATAATTAAATATTTAGGTTTTCAGTTATTGTAATAGAGTCAGGGGATTAGCAGTTGTAAGTGTAGAAAATTTTAAATTTTAAAATTTAAATGTCATATGTAATAAGTTTTTATAAAAACATATTCTGCTAATAATACAATATTCTTGTCTGGAACATGACAAACAAAACATTTAACCTTTAAATCTTTGATAGGTGTTGTGAACTTTTCATATTTTGGATAATTTTTTCTCCGGATAAATATTTAGCATTTTATTGACAAAATTCTGCATTCCATGTTAAATTACAAAATTGTACATTTTTCAATAGGTGTTGTTATTATGATTATTATTTACTGTTATTATTATGATTATTAATCTATATTCTTGTACTTACATAGCTTTGGTAAGTAATCTTTGAGTTGTGTTCGTTTCCATCAGAGAATCAACCTCTCCTCCAAGAACTTGAATATTTTCCTTCTTTAGCATTAGTATTCCTTTTCGGCACAAAACATTACCCTGAATTAAAACCTAAAAAGTAGCAAATCAACTTTTGTAATCAATTTTAAACTTACAAATAAATTTCTTAATTCATGTTAATCCAAATTTAAAACTAATTACTTTGCATTTGATCCACAGAACATTATTTTTTTACAATTAAAATTCAATAACCCATCATAAATGATATATTCCTGAAAGATTTAAGAAAGAATTGATAGCAATAAAACTAGAATCTTAAACCTAAGAAAACATTTGCTCCTTCAGTAAAAGACTTTTGGATGTTGCTAATGTTTTTTATAGTGTCTTTTCTTCAATACAATATCAGATTACTTTGGCATTACCATGTAGTCACCATCACTTACATGTTATATATGTGAGGGAATGACATGCATCCTATATTCAGCCTCTCTACAGTCTGTTGTCTAATGGATCTTTTATAATGTAGAACACAGTTCACTAAGTTTTATTTCATCAAACATGAAGCATAAATGACAAACTGACACCTATCAGTCTGTAAGTGTCAAATGCCATTCTTCTTTACTTCGTCTGCCATGTGAGTAAGACACCTCTATTTTATATGTAAAGACTAATGTTTCTTTCCCCTTAACTTTTTATCTTTTGAGATTAACAATTGATCTTTTAATCAGGTGATGTTGGTCATATTAAACAGCTAGAAAGATTATGTAACATCATGCTTAATAATGCTTTCTCACACACACACACACACACACACACACACACACACATATATATATATATATATATATATATATATATATATATATACACTACAGTTCAAAAGTTTAAAGCTACCCCTAGAATTAGCATGGCATGAACTTGATAGAAAAGTGAAAAGGAGCTCTTAGAGTCATTGAAAAAAAGAATGGAATCAATTATAAACTCTTATACTTTGAGAAAGTTTTGCAACAAATACCAAAAATTTGTCCTGCAGTAATCAAAGCTAAAGAAGGATATTTCAACAAGAGAAAAACTGCTTTTTTTCTTTTTGTCATAATAAAATTTCTAATAAAAAATCATGTCTCACTTTTTTTTAAACATGTATATTAATTTTCTCTTATTTCAAATAAAAAACCATTCATTTTGGGGCCAATTTAATAAATTACCAGGAGTAACCCAAAAATTTGAAATACAGTGTATATATATATATATATATATGTGTGTGTGTGTGTGTGTGTGTGCGTGTTTGTGTGTGTGCGTGTTTGCGTACAATAAGGTATTGAAAAATTCATGTCTCAACCAAGAAATCCTTTCAAACAAAATTCTGATGTTTGCTCATTCAATTAGATTTTGAAAAGTGGATCACATCAAAAACTTTTCACTACCCACTTGCCCCTGTATATAAACAACATTCATAGACACATAAATTTTTCTACACAGATAGGAAAAGAAAAACCTACCTTAAAACCAGGTTTAAGTTCAAGATTCAGATCTGGAATTGTATTGTACTCCATTGCATGAATCTTTGTCATTCCATCTGTCAATTCAAGTTTAAACATTCGAGTGTGTGGAGGCTGCCACTGCAAAGAGACAAACATTTTCTTACATTATCAGCTTGCTTGATACATTTATGACTTTTTAGTCAAAGAAAATGTATGGCAAATGATGAACAAGAACTTAAAAGTTAGCTCTCTAAATAACTGCATTCTATAGAGATTTCTGATTTTCATGTTATCTGCCTTAAGTTGAAATCATACATATTTACTGATTATTTAAGATACACAGCTTCAGAAAGCTAAAATGAAAAAAGTTTATTAAACAGAATTTAGTGAAATGCAATGTCTTTATTTTAATGTTTAACCTAGAATAGTTGTGAATTTAAAAGAATAATGTTTTTAAATATATTATCTATTTGTATCATTTACAAATTACTAAGAATATAATATCTCGAATTATCTCAAAGCATTTTAATTCTTTTTACATTTCCCAGAAATCCTGAATTTATCTAAAATTTAGTGCTCAATGGGGGAGAAAAGTAATTGTAGATAAAAATTTAATAAATTTTATTAAATTGAAGTATTTCTAATGTTAATGATTAATTGCATCCTCATCCACATCAATAATAATATACACACAAATCACACTTTCAACTTGTGGCCTAAATTTAAAGGACATTTTTAAAGTTAATCAAAATAATTTTGCATTATTATAATGAATATTCTTCATATATATATATATATATATATATATATATCTAAGAAAAACTTAACACATCATGAAATGGTGTGTTAAGCTTTTCCTTAATGTATATCATATTGCTCTGTATTTTATACATTCAGCTCTCTACGGATCTATCTTTTAATATTTTATATTAAAAGAACCACTTGGATTATCCTTTCCACTTATGGATCTGATATTATATATATATATATATATATATATATATATATATATATATAAATACAGTGGAACATCAGTTTAACAGACTAATAGCGGGGAAGATCATCCATTGAAGTCATTTGAATTTGTATTAATTTGACACTTTCTTTGTGGCCTAAAAACACCCAGTACAATACACAATTATTGTAAATAAATGTAAATACGGTATATATGTATGTGTATTTTTAAATTACTATATAGTAACAGATAGAGAATCCCACACAGATAGAGATTCCCAGGAATCTTATCTTTAAATGCTTGGGTATTAGGTGGAAATGAGCACTAAACAAAGCAGTTTCATCTGCATTATATATCTGACTTAATGTTAAGTCTACCAGTCTCTGTCTGATTGTGCCAGTAAACAGCCAATTCTGGAACTAACAGACTTTGCTTGTTATGTGCAGGCATTTTGACTTCCAGCTGGATACTACCATTTCTGCAGATTCTGTCCAGTAAATCTGGAGTCTGTTAGGTCCAGGACCATTAATTCAAGGTTTTACTATATATGTGTGTGTGTGAAAATTCTTGTTACTTAATTGAATGGTATTATTATTATACTTTAAAGTCTCATGAGCACATTGTTGTAAGTGACAAGTTTCTCCACATTAATTCTATTAACACTCTATCCTTACTTCTTGATATCAAGCAGTTTAAGACAAAAACCTGCATGCCTAAAATGCCTTTCCACAAGTAAACTACGGAAAAAGGACCAGCAATTTTGGCACCTAACACTCTCACAATACTATATATATCTATTATCTACTTTATATATTGCTGTTTACAGTAATAATTTCAAAGTCCCATTACACAACTGTGATCTCAACTGATTTATGTACAATAAAATTATGGCAAGGGAAAATGATTAAAGTAAAATTGGATGTTGCACAGAGAAAATTAAAAAATTAACAAGAAATTTTCTAGTTTTTGTTTAAAATTCTGAAATTTTAAGATTTGGCTACTCAATATTTTTATCACCCTGAAAAACACAAAACATAAAAGAATTAGAACGTATGATATTACAAAAAAAATGAGCAGATCTAGTGTAAAATCAAACAAGAGACATTACTAAAAAAAGTATAATGCTAAATCTGAAGTGTCACATAATTCTAAATTGTTAACAGACTTCATAACTATGTAAAATCGATATGCATGGAAAAAGTAAACATATCCTTGTCAGAGCTTGTTTATAGCAAGAGACATGAAAAGAACAAAAATAAGAACTAAAAGTAATCAATATTTATAATCCCACAACCATAAGAGCAGCACTAATTTGAGACCAGTTCTCAATAAAACCAAATGAATTAATGACACTATCATCTCTTAAAAGGAAGAAAATTACTGGTTCCGTTTAACAAAACCAGTTTTGTAATTAGTTAACCAGGTGTTTAATTGATGCTGAGTAAAAAGAGACACTCTTATTCCAAATATCTAAAAGGAGTTTTGATTCAGTTTTTTAAATTAAAAGATGTTACACTTATATATATATTATGGACATTTTTTATCTTTAGTTGTCTTTGTCTTATTCTTAAACTTGGGCAAAATCTCCTAGGTTTCGATGTGCAATGAGATTATTGATTTTGAAGAAACTACAATCCTTAGGTAAGATATTTATTATTTTTGTTTGTCAAGTTTTTTTTCAGTGGTAGAAGTGAGGACCTGTCTCCATACAGCATCTACCCATTGCACTGAAAATGGTGAGTGAAAGCATTCATTTATATCTGCAATTTTACTTACCCACTACACAATTGCTTGTAAATCATACAATAAAAAATAATAAATGCATTAATAATACAAATTCCTTACATTAACTGATTTTGTATTATGCTTTGGTTTTGTATGGTTACTAGGATATTATGCAACGTCTGTTAAGATCACAAGACCAGATTTTTTAAATATAGAATAATTGTTTATTCACTTCTGGACTCAGTCAAATTAGCATTATACATTAAGGGTATAGTGTTTCAGGTTTTTCTTTGATCATCATGCAAGGATATGAGGGATTCTGTCTTCTCTCTTGTAGATTGAGTATTTATATAACTTCCTGTTGTCTGGTTGTGTTATGTGTGTATATCCTCAGTTCAACAGGGTTCACTTCCTTGATTTTATTGGTACACTTAATTGGTACATCTTTTGAAGCTCAATTCTACACTTGCAGGCTTTGATATCACTTACTAGATCAACCCTAAAGATACACAGACCTTTTGATGTTCTGAAGTGACACAAAGTACAAAACTTACTTTATGATGAACCCATATTGGGGTTACCACAGATCAAAGGTTCCTGATGAACAATGAGTTTGATTCAAACCATTTGTATATTACCTGGTATGAATCACATACTACAGTTACAAATAATCCTGAAAGTGTCAATAATAACATTTTGTGGGTGATTTTAACCTGTAGTTGTTGTCTGTTGTTATTTTATTCTCATACATAATTCAAGTTTGTGACAAGAAAGCCCAACCAAATCACAAATGCAAAACCAACAATAACTTACCGTAGGCTTTTTGTGCTCATCATATGAAATGCTACTATTACTTGTATCTATACCCTTCAGTTTTACTTGTTGAGAGTAGTAGGACGTACTGATATCAATCATACTATTCACCTGAAAATAATGAAAGGAAATTTGAGATATTTTTTATATATAACAATACCGCAGTAAATAGTAACAAATTTTCCAATATTTTAAAAAAGAAAAGCACAAAGCCATCTAAGTCATAACGCAGAATATTGTCATCACAATATATATATTAAATCTTACATGGTCACACTGAATAAATATCTAAATCAAATAATATTAAGTTTTTCCTCTTTGATGCTTATCACTACAAAAAGTTCTAGCCAGAGAATAGACTGTCTACAATGTGTAAAAAAAAACAGAAAAACAAATGGGGGATTTTCAAAAAGAAAAAAATTGATTAACTTCTGTTAATACAAAAAGGTTTTGTTTCAATGAAACTGTGATTTAAATTTTTTTTAAAAATCATTTGGTCAGATTTTAGGAACTTTAGAAAAATTATTTTTTATCCTTTAGTAAAACTAGGACCACCAAGCTATACTATGTATTATTTATCTTTTTCTTTTTTTTTTTCTCAGTCTTAATAAAAGTAACCACAGCACTGGTATAAAAATATTTGAACATTTTTCAATTTTTAAGATAATAAATTTATATATATATATATATATATATATATATATATATATATAAAGGAGTATTTCAGCAGCAATAATTCTTTCAAACCTTATTCAATGTTTATTATTATTCAACCATATATGAGATAACAATATAGATTTTTATATATCAAGAACAATATTGGGAAAATTATATGACAAAGTGGAAAAAGTTTACTTGTTCTGCATGTTGTCCTTCAGGATGTCATTGCACTAAATTTGCTATATTGGTACAACTACACATATGCACAAACAAGGGGTGCTGGGGATTTTAGATTTTTTTATATATATATATATATATATATATATATATATATATATCTAGCCAAATTCATTTAGTCTTTTTCTTTTTCTTTCTGTCACTTTTGTTAGTAGGTATCCCACACTGTGATATTAGAAGATCTGCCAGGAATGGTGAAATGTTGTAAGAGCCAGGGTGAAAATTTAGTGTAGATGACCTTGTGATCAAGGCACTCTATCAACATTTCATCATAGTCAATTGTTTTCTCCTTTAATCAGATAGCATTTTTTATGTCAAAACTGTGGTCAGTCTAATTAGGGTGGGCAACCAACCCATTTGACATTGTTTTTAAAGTTTCCCTTTGTGTTCACATAATCTTTTATTTAGATTCCTTGAGGTTTCTCCTATGTACTTTTTGTGGCAATTATTACTGGCAATGGAGTTAATTCCTCCTTCAGTTTTTAGCTTATTGTTTTGTTTAGTTTTGACTAAGTCCTTTATTGTTTTGGATGTAGTAGTAACAAATTTTTATGTTGAGTTTAGATAGATTCTTTTTGATTGTAGATGTGATAGAATGAGTAGGCAGAATAATATATTTTTTTGGTTCATTGGGCTTTTCAGGAGGGGCCATTTTTTTGTTTTGCAATATTTTATAGGCTTTTTGTTTTGTATTGAATATAAAATAATTAGGGTACTGGAGAATTTTAAAAGTGTTTTCGATGTATTTCTCCTCTCTGTGTAAATAATGCAGGCTGCATATTGTGAGTGCTCTTAAGTAGAATCTGATGATTCTGCCAGATTTTATTTTGTTGTTATGATGAGATTAGAAATTTATTAGGATGTTTTTGTTGATTGATTACCAGTGGACACTGAATTCTAAACTGTTGTTAACACGGTATAGCTTGATATCTAAGAAGGGTAATAAATTGTGTTCTTCCATTTCATATGTAAATTCTATTGTGTGTTTGACTTTGTTTAGTTGATCTACTAGGTCAGGTAAATCATTATCATGGGGATATATAAGTAGAACATCATGAATATAACAGAAGTATGTTGATTGTTTGGTTAAAATATTTTGGAAAGAACCAGATTCAAGAAGTTCTAAGAAGATACATGTCATCACTCCATTGAGAGGCAATCCCATTGGTAATCCAAATTTTTATTTGGAAAAATCATTATTAAATGTAAATTTTCACCCTGACTCTTACAACATTTCACCATTCCTGACAGATCTTCTGTTATCACAGTGTGGGATATCTACCAACAAAAGTGATGGAAAGAAAAAGAAAAAACCTAAATAAATTTGGATAGATAGATAAAAAAAAAATTCTAAAATTCTAAAATTCCCAACACCCCTCAATTGTGCGCATATGTAGTCGTACCAACATAACAAATTTAGTTCAATGAAATCCTGAAGGACAAAATGCAGCACAAGTAAACTTTTTCCACTTTGTCATACAATTTCCCATATATAACTTTAAATTCAATAGAATCCATTATATCACAGAATATAGACAACAAACTAATAGTCAAAATGAAAGCAAAGATATATCTCAGTAACATGAGTTGCTTAATTACATTTTTGAAATTCATCAATTTATATATAAAAATAAATGTTACTTCCAAATAGAAATATTTTAAAGATGAAATTGTGCTATTTTTCTTTTGCAAATATTCTTTTATTTAAGAGTATTTTATCTGTTCTGAAATATTCTAAAACCTGCAAAAATCTATATCTAAAATAATAAATTAATTATTACCTGCAAACAATAATGGCCAGAAAGAGTATATTTTTCAGCAGTAGCCACTTCAGCAGGAAAATAATGCATTCCTAATTCACTTAAATCAGCTACCAGCCATTGTTCATAGACAAGTTTTTTCATTTTATCCAAACTGAGATGATCTCCAGAATTCTGTATAAAGAAAACAAAGAAACAGCATAATGACAGAGTTTTAAAAATTAGAAAAATCAAGAAAATAATTTGTAGTACTTTGCATTTAACATAATGGTTTATTCTGTTTCTGTGTTGCTTCTTGAGTTGCTTCTCAACAATACATTACACAGTCATTTTATAGGACTTCATTCTTTGTAGCATGGTGTCCTACAGAACCTTAAATTTCAAATTTTTATGCACTTGTAAGACTATTTTTTCAGGTTCTTCTTCCTAATTAGAATGCCTTACAAATTAAGAAAAATAAAGCAATTAGCTGATAAAAAATTAATATCACACATTACTGTTTTTTTTATTATGGTAAGAATTATATTTATTACTTTCATATTCTTCTGCTATTGTCTATACATCAAGATCTTAGATCAGGGATCATCAACTTTTATCTCAAGAATTATTATATAACACTGAGTGCCTTGTGGTTGGATGTCTCCAACTTACTAGCCTTCCCCCATGTCGTGTCTGATTTTTGAAAGAAAAGGGAGATAACTCATTGCTGTTGGCCAAAGCAAACTGAGCTATGTCACCAAGATAATGAAGGCCATATTGTAGAAGTTGTAGGAAAAGAAAAAGTGAAAACAGTTGTTTTTAGCTGATAACATTAACTAGTTCTTTGATCTGGATTACTTCATTAACAAATTCAGAGGAGATGAGTGGCAGCCACTTGTTAATTTGCTGAGTCTAGATGCTTCTCATGGAACCATGATAGCAACTCTGATGCTTCTTTGTGGCAGCAACTCACAACAGGCCAGCTACAAGGACAACATTTCCTGTGATAATTCTTCTGCTCTCACCCCTTTTGATAAAAATCCAATCAAATATAAGAATTTCATGGCCTTTCACTTTGAAGACCCTGATTTCTGATCAGATGGTTCATGTCTCATTCAAGTAATCAACTACATCACCAGACACAAAGTTTTAAAGTAACAATAGAAAAACCTTACAGAAGAGTTCATTCATCTTATTTTCCTCCTGGACTAAAATCACTTTTCTGAATGAGAATTTGGAATGCAAAGACTTAAACACTACCATGGACCACTCAGCTAAGTTGTTGCCTAGGAACATTAAAATTACTTTCCATAAAATGAAGTCCCAGACATATAGATAGTGCCTTGTCAGTGCTAGGAAAATGATAGTAAAATATTTCCCACTTATATGATTTATTATGAATTTGAAAAACATTTTGTTGTATAGGAATAAAATGTTGCTGCCAACAATAGAGTTTGAACACAAATCACCAGAGAGCAAACACAGGTAATCCCATTTTGAATAAGTAGATCATGTGATGGTAAAGGAAATGTATATATGGGAATTAGCATTGTGACTAAGTGATCACTATCCAGATTACTTTGGAAGTGTGCTGGTCAACCTCCCTGCCTCCAGGCAGAGAGGAACCCAGACTAGTCTATGCCAAAGGGCAGAGTCTTGTCTGGGATAGTAGACAGCTACCTAACCCAGTTTTTTATGGGGCCTATGGGGAATTTTTAGCCAAGCATATGGGCTTGGATACCCCACAAGAAACTTGGCCTTATGCATCCTACACACACACAAATGCCCCTGTATAAACCTTGCTGTAAAAAAAAAATTTAAAAAACAATATATATATATATATATATTTATTAAAGACATTTTTATGTTTAACGTTGTTATTTATAGATACAAGTATTTAAGCAAATGCTCTGTTTATGATAAACAGTATTAAATAACATTTACCGGCCTGAATGTCCAAGAAATTTTCATAGAAAATATTCGTTCTTTGACAGGATTCAAACCTGAACATGAATCTCGGTTAAGGCACGTCAGCGTATATGACGGTTCCGTATAGGATGCAGGTTTGAATCCTGTCAAAGAACGAATATATTTATGAAAATTTTCGACATTCAGGCGGTAAATGTTATTTAATAATGTTTATCATAAACAGAGCATTTGCTTAAATACTTGTATCTATAAATAATAACGTTAAACATAAAAATGTCTTTAATAAATAAATTGTCGGACCTTGTCCATTTCTTAATATATGACGTCATTTGTTTACATTCGATACACCAGAGCAGTTATGAATGTACGAGATTCATGGAAGATTGAAGTTTATAAGCAGTAAATTCGACCTTGTCTACCGAAAGGTTCTTTGTGGCCGAGACGGTTAAGGCACGTCAGCGTATATGACGGTTCCGTATAGGATGCAGGTTCGAATCCTGTCAAAGAACGAATATTTTCTATGAAAATTTCTCGGACATTCAGGCCGGTAAATGTTATTTAATACTGTTTATCATAAACAGAGCATTTGCTTAAATACTTGTATCTATAAATAACAACGTTAAACATAAAAATGTCTTTAATAAATAAATTGTCGGACCTTGTCCATTTCTTAATATATATATATATATATATATATATATATATATATAATACTATAATGTCCAAATAATGACTACTCAGAGTCACAATAACAACCATCAGACAGATAAAGTATTTTATTCGTCTGATGATTGTTATTGTATGAAACTCTGAGTAAGAGATTTTGGTACTGTTGTATTGTTATATAGGAATAAAGTGTCATTCCCAACATTAAAGTTTGAACATAAATCACCAGAGAGCAAACACAGGCAATCCCATTTTGAATAAGTAGATTATGTGATGGCAAAGGAATTGTATATATGGGAATTAGCATGGCATCTAACTGATCACTATTTCTATTCTATCCTCTGTTACTATATGGATCACTCTTTCTACTCTATCTCTATACTATTCACTATACTGATCACTATACATGTTACTATTCGGTGGTTACTTTTTGAGCAAGTGTTATCAAGCAAGTACTCTTAGTGTGAGTGTTATTCAAGGGCGTCTGACACCAGTATTGTTCAACGGCGTTACTATAGGTATATCTGTGATTACAAAGTCTCTACTACAACGAGCATTACAAAAGTGACAAAGAGCATTTGTTGACATTACAAAAGTAGCAACGAATGTTCATTAAAATCACAAAACATTTACACAGCAATTAAATCAAGTGGCCAGCAAAAGTTTCATTTCTTTGGGAGGTTAAGAATTGAAATAAAAACAAAAGAATCTATGAAACACATCTGTGAACAACTAAAGCTAACAGGTTTTTGGTCAGTCTATCTCATAAAAATACTTATTCAGTTGACTTTAAACATAAATTAGATTCAGTGTTCACATTCTGAGCCTGCTTAGGTACTAATTTGATTTATATGCCTTCATTTTTTTCAGTTAATTCTTTTTGCTAATTACTTTCTCATTCCTAAGTGTTGTTGAGGTTATTTTTTTTACTTCTTGCCCATGGCAAAAGTACACCTCAGTGCCATGAAGTACTTAATTACTAAACAAAATCTATGGTACCCCAGCTATACATACTGTCTTCAGTATATATTATATACACAACCTCTTCTAAATATTGGTAAAAAAAATAAGTAAAATTTTTAACTACATCATTGCATTCATTCACCTATGCATTATGAGTTGCAACTGACCAAAAGAGGTTTCATATTACACTGACAGAGGGTTCACAACATACCAACAAAGGAATTAAACTGCTTCAACAAATGGTGGTCCATATCTGACAACAAAACAATAACACCTCTCTGGCCCTATATATTCATTGTAGTATCCATAGATCTGCTATGATTGGTCAATAAGCAAGTGCCACCATCCCTCTGCAAATTAGTTTGTACCGCAATTGATATGCAAATTTGTCAGCAGTGCTAATCAGACAATAAAAGACAAACTTAGTTGCACCAAATACATCCCATCCAGGGTCTCTAGTGCATTTCAAACGAGAAATTATATTGATTGGAATTGATTTTCATTTTTTTTTTTTTTTTTAAAATAGCTGATTAGCAGCCTTTTTTAGTCATCTATCAAAAATAAAATATACTTTTCTGAAATTTTATTTGAGGAATATTAGCTGATTAAAATATAATTAATCTGATTTTAAACAAATCTTATTTACTTTAAGTTTAAAATAACACATAAATGCATTTTAAACCAAACAGTAGCTGTGTTTATGCATCTGACAAGGTGAAGACAGATTTATTGTTGTTCTATGGAGACTTTATCTGTAAAACATAATTTAAGAAAATGACAAGAGCACCTTTTTTATATAATTTTTAAGTACTCAGTAATCTTAAAAATTTAGGAAAATATTCTGTAATCTAATTTTAGGAATGTTGACTTTAAATTTTCTATAGTCATCACTCTTATTTTCTGATAATGGTTATCCATACTTTAAAAATGATCACATTTATGTACATAAAAAAATTCAAAATTCTTTTTAAAATTTTGGTGTTTGATGGCTACCATTTATGATTAGTAAATGTAGTCTAATATAATCTAAATGGCTGAATTTAATCAAGAATATTAAAAGATTTAAAATTTAATAAATTTTTGTAATTAAAATTTAAAAAAAATGAAAACCATTCTTGTAAAAACTCATTATTGACTGAAAAAAATGTTTTTCTTCAGACAATAGTGTTCTTAATATATCTTATTTATAAAAGCAATTAAAAATTTTCCTAATTAAATAATGTCATAGTTTATTGCATTTTTTATGATTTGGAGCAAATTTTTGGAAATGGTGTTGCTGTTAGACAGAAACAAATTAATTTAAATTCAGCAAGCAGTCCTACTTTTAACTAATATGAAGAGGCTGACATTTTTAATTTCTTGAAGTAAGTTGGGGTAAGAGATGTAGAAAAAATATTTTTACCAAAATTTTCTAAAAAAAAAAAATCATTTAAAAAATAATTTAATTCATTTGTGAATAAATCCTGGAATCTTCATTAAAATCCAATAATCATTTGATTTTTGCAAGAATTTCCAAATCAATGTGTTTTTTACCAGAAAAAGGCACTAAAATATCCATAGTAAGTCTTTGGTCCACAGCTGACAAAAAAAAAAAACAAGATTTTTAACCAATATTTCAAACATGTTAGAAAGGAATAAAAAATTAAATAAAGTAATAAAAAAATACTTTGGTCTTTCTTCTTAATAATAACAAACATTTTGGCAATAAAACTTTGTTTTTATCAAGGTTTTTTTTTTTTTTTTTTTTTTCATCGTGGTATGCTCTTTTTTAGTGAAAAAGTGGATGTACCTAATAGCCACTAAACTTTATCCACTTACTATAATTCATCTTTATACTTTTTGAAATTTACTTTTTAAAGACAAATGAAAGTTGCATAAATGAAAAGGTTCTTTAAAAAAATGCACACTCTAAATATAAAATTAGGTAATAATTCATCAATGCATCTTAAAATGTTTTTAAACTCAACTTACTTGATGTTCATCTTTTAGCCAATCAATACAAGCCTCAACCCATTCATTAGGTACTTTGATGTGGATACTTCCCAAAAATGAAGTTATTCCAGCCACTATTCCAGTCATCTTGATCAGATGTTAATGTTCACATCATCTCTAAATTGGGAAAATAACAAGATCATAGCAAATTATCTTAGTGGACACTTAAAAAAAAGTATAAAAATACTAAAAACAAAATGAGAAGAATAAAAATGAAAAAGAAATAAAAATTAAAAAAATTAAAAAGAATAAAAAAGGCAAAACATTCAATTGGAATAAAATCATTATTTTGAACTCAAGAAACCCTCCTTTTCTGCTTCTTTTTATAACAGTCCTCTGAAAACAAAAATAGAGAGGGGCATGAGCCAAAGGTGTGTCTTCCCCACCAGATTTATTCAACCTCTATATGATATCCTAAGTAACTGGAGACCTTACCAGGATTTATCATCGGTGGGTGTAATCTTAACAATACAAGATACACAGATGACACTGTGTTGATAGATGACTGAGAAAGAAAACTACAGAACCTCCTAGATATGGTAATAAAAGAAAGCAGCAAATAAAGTACTAATCATCAAATACAAGAAGACAGAAATTATGATCCTCAACAAGAGAAAAGCCTATGATGCAAGTTACAAATTGGAGATGTCAACATCAAGCAGGTGAGGAAGTTTAAATATCTGGGAAGTGTTTTAACAAAGGATGGAAAATGCAACACCAAGATCCAAACAGGGATTTGATTAGTGAAAGAAATATTCTGAAAGATAAGCAAAGTGCTGAGAAACAGAAAAATTCTGTTAGAAACAAAGAAAATTCTCTTATAAGGCTGAACAACCTCCCCACAAATAAGGAGAAAACTGGACATAGCAGAAATATGTTTCATGGACAGAGCAAGTGAGCAACAAGGAAGTCTTAAAGAAAATGGTATCAGAAAAAAAAAACATTAATATTCAGAATCAGGAACAGACAACTGAAATTCTTTGGAGATATAATAAGGAGGACTGGAAAACTTAGCCCTCACAGGACATATTGAGTGCAAAAACGATAAGGCAAGGCAGTGGTCCAATTACCTGACCCTGACAAGCTTGTGTGAGAGGATAGCAGAATAGGGGTGGGGAGCCTTAGCAAAGGGAGAAAAACTGCTAAAGTCTGTAGTGAGTGCAAAATAATATTAACTCCCTTCATTCACTCTCTTCAAATTCAGAGGACCGTGGAAGAAGAAGGAAAGTAATTTGCGAGCCTATGTGAAATTTTCTTTGTACCAATGAAAACCTTGCCTTCACTGAAATTGACCGATGACTTGAAAAGAAGAAGGAAATGAATTTACAAACCTAAGTGAAATTGTTTTTGGACCAATGAAAACCTTGTCTTCACAGAAATTAACTAGCCAGCCTAGAAGAAAATTACTTAGAGTATAAAATGAGGAGGAAAATTAAATTAATCATAGAAGAGTGTCTGAAGTCATGTAAAGGGTTTTGTTACAGTTCCTCACAACCAGCATTGAAGTTTTCAGTAGTGTAAAATTACTCGCCAATATTGGCTTCTAACCAGTATGCAGCATTATTATTTTATGTCAGATAATTTTATTTTCTTGAAACAAGCTACTTACACTGACACTATCAAGCAACTGTAAATTCGTGAATAAATTCCTTATCTTGTTTAAAATTACCCGTGTGTTTCCTCGTCATTATCATCCTTCATTAATCATCTTAACGTGGGTAAGTCAACCGTTCATTTTAATTCCTAAGCCCCACGCCACTATGGATAGGAAGTTGTGGAGAGCCTGAAAAATGTGACACACAGCAGAAGACACAAAAATAAGGTTATACTTTCACACCCATTTTTGTGTAAATGGGCACAAAATTGAGGTTCAGTTTTATGCATTTTTTAAATTGAACGTCAACAATCAACTTAATATTTTCTCAAAATTAAAATTTTTTTTCCTAAAGAATGAACGTCATATTCAAAAAAAAAAATAAATAAGAAAAATGTATTTTCATACAAAAACAGGACTTTTAATTTCTTTTTGTTAACTGAATGTTAGATGCTGGAAGTTTAAATAACACATAACTTATTAACTAATTCTCTTAACTTAATTTTAACACTACCAGTAATATTGCTAATTAAAGAAGGTGTTAATTAAAAATGGCATTTGCAAAAACAAGAAAGATAAAAAAATGTAAATACGGCAACAAGACGAAAACTTTTAGCTTCACGTATTGTTTGTAAATTCTAGTATCAATTATAATGAAATTCATTCAAGAGAATAAGATTAATTAAAAATATTATTGTAAATATTGCAAACTATAATCGGTATAAGTTTCCACTGGTTGGTTTAAAAACAAACAATGAAGTGAGTTAATTAAATAAATGTTTACTTTTTCTATTTTTAATTATAATTTTATAAATTATAAAAAAATTTTTTTAGTTATAGTTTTAAAAGCAGCTAGTCTAGTTAGTACTTACCAATGGTGGGTCAGCAATTTATGATAAATAAATAAAAATAAAAAATTACCAAGCCATCTTCTCAATTTGTTGACCATAAACAAAAACGAATATGCTTGAGAATCGTAAACAAATGAATCATCTAATATACAACTAGACATTAATTGAAAATCAACAAACATTTTACAATACGATCAATAAACTGGTTGACGAAAAAGATAATTACCAATAAATCTGATCGTCAATATCCTCTTCTTAGTCATAAAAGCCATCAAAATTGCGCTTGGCGCGTCAAGGTAGAAAAGATTCGCAAAATAAAAGAAACTATCACAATTATTTTCATAAATTATTCTTTGAGTTAATAGCTTCATAATACTAAAATAAAAACACATAAAAATAGTTTTAATTTTTAATGTATGATAAATAATATATATCAGATCATGAAAATTTTAAATTAGTTCATAACTGCGGCTATTTTTTGGTATTTAAAAAAAAAAGGAAAAAGGTTTCTGCTGTGCAACAAAATGAGAGATTGAATGAAAATTACAGAAAAATTTAGAAATTTGCAAAAGTTTAAAATCTACACATTCCTTGAGACATCTACGAAGATTTTCCTTTAATCCTAAACAGGTAATTTGCGTAAAATATTGAAATAACTTGTTTTTCTATCAGTATTGTTGTAATTAACCTTTATTACTGTTGTTAAATGGTGGTGATGGTGTTTGTGATGGTCTATTTTTGCTACTTTTTTCGTTTGGCGCATAATTGCTTTACATTTTTGCTTAAAATTCTGTTTTTATTTTGAAATCTGTTGTTGGGATTTCATTGCTAGCAATCATATTGTTCTTCTTTTTTGAGATTAATTTTTTTTCGTTTTGTTTTGTTTTTTATATATGTTTTTCTTTTAATTTGTATGCACACCAGGTCGCGAGGTTCAACAAATGATTTTATGTCGACTTTTAAAAAATTTAATGTTCATTTTACTTTAAAATTTTTTTTTTTATTCTCACAATTATTTTTTCTTTCATTTAATTTAAATAGTTAAAAAAAAAGAAAGAAAAGAAAATGCTAAAGCAAAACCTGTTAGATTTTTTTACACGGAATAGCGAATTTGAAAGAAAAAATAGTGCTGTCTGTAAATGAACAAAATTACCCGGTATCTCTGCTGACTCAGCCACATTATTATCCGCTGCTTAAAATTTAGCGAAAAAAAAAAAAAATGACAGAAAGAAGTAAATAAAAGTAAAACCAGATTTTATTTTCTATTTCTATTTAATTTTACTTCTTTTAATATTTTTTTTACATCAATTTTTAAAATCAATAGAAATCCAATTTGACAACCTGTTGTTAATCAATTTATTATTGTTCTGTAAGCAAGCACCTAAAGAAATCTTCAAAAATAAATATTAAAAATTCACTTTTTTCTTCCACCCTAATTCACTCTTTTGGTTTCCACTCCCACTTCACCCCAATTCATTTTTTTCTTCCACTCCCACTCCACCCCTAATGCACTCTTTTTTTTCTTCCACTCCCACTCCACCCCTAATTCACTCTTTTTTTACTTCCACTCCCACTCCACCCCTAATTCACTCTTTTTTTCTTCCACTCCCACTCCAACCCTAATTCACTCTTTTTTCTTCCACTCCCACTCCGCCCCTAATTCACTCTCTTTTTTCTTCCCTCCCCCTCCACCCCTAATTCACTCTTTTTTCTTCCACTCCCACTCCACCCCTAATTCACTCTTTTTTTCTTCCACTCCCACTCCACCCCTAATTCACTTTTTTTTTCTTCCCTCCCCTCCACCCCTAATTCACTCTTTTTTTCTTCCCTCCCACCCACCCCTAATTCACTCTTTTTTCTTCCCTCCCCCTCCACCCCTAATTCACTCTTTTTTTTTCTTCCACCCCCTCCACCCCTAATTCACCCTTTTTTTCTTCCCTCCCCCTCCACCCCTAATTCACTCTTTTTTTTCTTCCTCCCACTCCACCCCTAATTCACTCTTTTTTTTCTTTCACCCCCCTCCACCCCTAATTCACTCTTTTTTTTTTCTTCCCCCCTCCACCCCTAATTCACTCTTTTTTTTCTTCCACTCCCACTCCACCCCTAATTCACTCTTTTTTTCTTCCACTCCCACTCCACCCCTAATTCACTCTTTTTTTTCTTCCACTCCCACTCCACCCCTAATTCAATCTTTTTTTTTCTTCCACTCCCACTCCACCCCTAATTCACTCTTTTTTTGGTTTCCACTCACACTCCACCCCTAATTCACTCTTTTGGTTTCCACTCCCACTCTACCTCTAATTCACTCTTTTTTCCACTCCCACTCCACCCGTAATTCACTCTTTTTTTCTCCCACTCCACCCAATTCACTTTTTTCTTCCACTTCCACTGCACCCCTAATTAATATTTTCTTGCACCCCCTAATTCACTCTTTTTTTCCACTCCCACTCCACCCCCTAATTCACTATTTTTTCTTCCACTCCCACTCCTCCCCAATTCACTCTTTTTTTCTTCCACTCCCACTCCACCCCTAATTCACTCTTTTTTTTTTTCCACTCCTACTCCACCCCTAATTCAATCTTTTTTTTTTTCTTCCACTCCCACCCCAATTCATTCTTCTTCTTCCACCCTAACCCAAGTCCTTCTTTTTTTTTTTTTTTTCCAATTTTCTCTTAAATGCTCAAATATTGTCTCTCAGCCCTCAGGTTAGGATCAATGAGTAGTATCTGTTCTCCATTTAATCAATGGGGAAAACACCTAGACCCAAGGATTTCAACTCTGTAGCAACATCTTCCACATAGCACTAAAAGAGTATGGGTGTCAGTGTGACAGTGGTCACAGGAACAGGACACTTTTTGGATTGGTCAATGACAATCCTGCATTAAAAACCACATTGTGTCATATCTTGCTACAGCAGGGAGGTGAGTAAATATTATTGCTTCTTGGCATTTAGGCTGGAATCACTGCATGGTATCTATTCTAATAAATCAATGAGAGAAAGTGCTTGGTCCTGGAGATTCCAAGTTTGCAACAGCACCTTCCTCATTGCACTAAAAGAGGGAGGGTCAGCATAACTGGTCATAGGCAATTTTTGGAGGTACAAATTAAGTCCAGTCCCAGGAATCCCATCTTCCCAGGTAATAACTCTCAATCAAGATGTAGCTAGAATTAATTCCTGGAACTTGAGGGATCTCCAAAAGAGAAGTGCTTAAGATTCCATGTCCACATGGATCTCCTACTTTAAATTTGATTTTCTGTTCAAGTGGGCATTTGGATAAATACCTTTAAAATGTTCAAATATAGTTTTAGTTTTTTTCATTTAGCAAATACTGGTTGAAATGGACCATTTATTTGGTTCATAGACCTTACAATTGCTTTCTTTTATTGAGTAACTTAAACACAAAATTTAAATTGTTTTCCTCACTTCATTGCTTTTTATCTTTATTTTGTGAACTCACATATTTCTGCTTTCAGCAGCATTAATAAAATATTTTTTGATCCAAATCAAAACTGATATAAATTTTTTTTTTATTTTAAATCTTGCAAGAATCAGTAAAAATGAAGGAAAAATTAATTTACAACTAAATTCAAAAAGACAAGAATAGTTGCCATAATTTTGTTGGATTTCTTAAAGCTAGGAATATAATCTTTAAAATAATTTTATATAAATGCAGGGTGACAAATTCAAATGTGTTTTTTCCTTATGAAAATTTAGGATTTTATTTATTTATTTACTTATTTATTTTTAATGTTTATTGAATAAAAAGAAAATAGATTATCAATAAATAGGCTTATATAATTATTTTTAAACTTTTTAGAATGAAACGTGTATTTTCAAATAGTCCAGCTGGGAATTACTCCCATTTCAATAACTTAAAGTGCAACAATGTTATAAAAAAGAAACTACAGAAAAATGTGATAATTTTTTTCTTCTAAATATAATTAAACAAAAATGATTGATTATAATTAGTCTTTTGATTAATGACAATCAAGAGTAGGGATCCCAATGCTAAATGAAACTATTTCAAAGGGAGTAATTAGAACAATTTCCTTTTCATAAGATATGTAATTGTCTAACCCTATCCAACAGATAAAATGCAGTGATTACTGTTGAATAAATGTGAAAAACAATACAAAATGACCAACTAGAAGAAAATTAAAATGCTTTACACTATGTTTCTCATAGCTTTTATCCCCTTAAACATATTTGTTGTGCATATGCAGCTTGTGTTAGTGATGGACACTAAAGCTGAAGTTACTTATGATTTCAATAGATTTTTTTCAAACAGTTCTAAAATTCAAAAGAATATAAATTATTTTATTTTTTTATATCTTTGTTTATTTTTTATGCTTTTTCCTTTTTTTGGAAAGAGTATGACCTTGAAAGATTTATTATAACTAACAAAACAAGGAAGCAAATAAATATGCACTACAGTGAAAGTACTTAACCAATTGAAAAAAAATCAAAATCATTGTTTAAAAACTTCTCCCTGAAAGTCATGGCCACAAAAATAAATCTTGTAATTATAATCACAAATAGAGATTAATTTCTGGAAGTTAATTCAATTGTCAGAGTATATTTTTTTTAATTTATACATGAATATGGTTAATAATTTTACTTCTTTTATATGAAAACATGAATTCATTATTTTCTTTCATTTTTCTGCAAGAAATAGATTTAAATAATAATATCTGAGATTTTATTCAAATAAAAAATGTAGATTATTATTTATTGAAAACTAGTAAGACAAAATTATAAAATAATTTTGTTTTTTCCATAATAAGCACTTTTTTATTAAATATTTGTATATTTTATTTATTAGCAAGGACCACTTAATTTAAAACTGAAAAAAAATCTTTTGCAAAGATAGTATCTATTTTATACATTAGATGAAATATTTGTTTATCTTCAAAGCCTTTACATAAATTTTCTATGAAACAATAACATATGAACAATAACAAAATGTAATTTTCTATTTCTTTTTTATTTTTATTATCAATTGTAAATCTTTATTTTCTGGGTTCATTCTAGATCAACCAAGTGACTTTAAAATGTCAGTTTGTAATTTAGAAGAAAATCTTACATATATGCATACATACATACATACATATGAAGTTTACTATTTGTTATGTAAGACAAATGGTAAACTTATCTTAGCCAACATGTTTCATCCTCTGAGGGACTTTATCAAGGCAAATGCAAAGATTATATTTTGTAACAAGTATTTATAGATGAGTAAAAATGTCAGTTTTTCAAAATTTTTCAATTTAA